AGGGCCTCTTCAAGGAGAACTACAAACCACTGCTCAACGAAATAAAAGAGGACACAAACAAATGGAAGAACATTCCATGCTCATGGATACGAAGAATCAATATCATGAAAATGGCCATACTGCCCAAAGTAATTTATAGATTCAATGCCATCCCCATTAAGCTACCAAGGACTTTCTTCACAGAATTGAAAAAAAACTACTGTAAAGTTCATATGGAACCAAAAAAGAGCCCGCATTTCCAAGACAATCCAATGCAAAAAGAACAAAGCTGGAGGCATCACGCTACCTGACTTCAAACTATACTGCAAGGCTACAGTAACCAAAACAGCAAGGTACTGGTACCAAAACAGAGATATAGACCAATGGAACAGAACAGAGCCCTCAGAAATAATACCACACATCTACAACCATCTAATATTTGATAAACCTGACAAAAATAAGAAATGGGGAAAGGATTCCCTATTTAATAAATGGTGCTGGGAAAACTGGCTAGCCATATGTAGAAAGCTGAAACTGGATCCCTTCCTTAAACTTTATACAAAAATTAATTCAAGATGAATTAGAGACTTAAATGTTAGACCTAAAACCATAAAAACCCTAGAAGAAAACCTAGGCAATACCATTCAGGACATAGGCATGGGCAAGGACTTCATGTCTCAAACACCAAAAGCAATGGCAACAAAAGCAAAAATTGACAAAGGGGATCTAATTAAACTAAAGAGCTTCTGCATAGCAAAAGAAACTACCATCAGAGTGAACAGGCAACCTACAGAATGGGAGAAAATTTTTGCAATCTACTCATCTGACAAAGGGCTAATATCCAGAACCTACAAAGAACTCAAACAAATTTACAAGAAAAAAACAAACAACCCCATCAAAAAGTGGGAGAAGGATATGAACAGACACTTCTCAAAAGAAGACATTTATGCAGCCAACAGACACATGAAAAAATGCTCATCATCACTAGCCATCAGAGAAATGCAAATCAAAACCACAATGTGATATCATCTCACACCAGTTAGACTGGCAATCATTAAAAAGTCAGGAAACAACAGGTGCTGGAGAGGATGTGCAGAAATAGGAACACTTTTACACTGATGGTGAGACTGTAAGCTAGTTCAACCATTCTGGAAGACAGTGTGGCAATTCCTCAAGGATCTAGAACTAGAAATACCATTTGACCCAGCCATCCCATTACTGGGTATATACTCAAAGGATTTTAAATCATGCTGCTATAAAGACACATGCACACGTATGTTTATTGCGGCACTATTCACAATAGCAAAGACTAGGAACCAACCCAAATGTCCATCAATGACAGACTGGATTAAGAAAATGTGGCACATATATACCATGGAATACTATGCAGCCATAAAAAAGGATGAGTTCATGTCCTTTGTAGGGACATGGATGCAGCTGGAAACCATCATTCTCAGCAAACTCTCACAAGAACAGAAAACCAAACACTGCATGTTCTCACTTATAGGTGGGAATTGAACAATGAGAACACTTGGACACAGGAAGGGGAACATCACACACCAGGGCCTGTTGTGGGGTGGGGAGAGCAGAGAGGGATAGCATTAGGAGATAAACCTAATGTAAATGACGAGTTAATGGGTGCAGCACACCAAGATGGCACATGTATACATATGTAACAAACTTGCATGTTATGCACATGTACCCTAGAACATAAAGTATAAAACAAACAAACAAACAAAAAAAAGAGTGTGCATGGTGTCAATATAAGGGAAGTGATGCATCTAAAGTAAAGTCCCAAAGGTGCCTCAGGTGGAAGCTGCCTCCCTTTGCCAGAGGCTCAAGATGGAAAAATCGTTAGTCACCGAGACTATAGCTCGAGGAGGTCATCCAGTTTGTGGAATCCCAAAAGTATTATTACTTTCCTATGGATAGCTCTTCCTGATCAGAATTCCCTTTGGTACTTATGGAATGGAAGGTACAAGCATATTCACATCAATTTCTACTATATATTTAAATATAGAAGCAACAAAAGCAGTACATTGAATTGTTCCAACGGACCCTACCAACTGTAAACTTACATTACTGTCTCTTACCCCACTGTAAACTTTGCCCAGTCAGATAAGTTGAACCTGGGCTTCCTTCCCACTCAAGACCAGGTAGAATAATGACATGGACACCTGCATCCAAGAGGGTCATACAAGTTCAAATCTCTCTCCCTGAAGTTCTCTAGCATACTTAGCTAGGTGAATATGTCCTTTGATCCCTCTTAAGGATGGGGAGACCTCAGCCTCACCCCTATTCATCTTTCTGCATAAAGAAGCTACAGAGGAGGCGGGAGGGGGCAAGAAGTGAGGTAAGGGCTTTATGAAAAGATGCAAAGGGAAAAAGTGGGGTAGCCCAGCTCATAGTTCATGACTCAACAGAATGAACTTCTAATGTTTTCATTCTGACTAAAATTCTGTATCAATTGGCAAGATTCTTATGGCTAACAGCATCAATTTCAGTATTAGAGACCCCTGGATATAACAACCACAGCTACACCGCATTCTCGCTGGGGGTGCAAGGGTTATGCCCTTTGCCCAACTCAAGCCTGACACAACTTTTTTAAGGAATTCACCTAAATCTGGAGCATCTGCAAGCACCACTACCAAAATAACACTCTCTTAAATTCTTTTAAGTTTCAATATAAAAACTAGGGGAGTGTTCCAGAGCTGCAGGACTAACCATAGAATTTATCTAAGAAATTGGTTTAGTTTCTCATTCTTCAGTGGGTCACCTTCATCACCATCGTAAACCCAATTTGGATCAGTAAAACCTCAAGTACTTGTTAATCCCTCATCTATGACTTCCCACAGGAGTTTGTCTACAAAAAAAATCTCAAAGAAGCTCAAGAATCTCTTATAATAACCATGAATAATTTAAAAAAAAAAAAAAAGAAAGAAAAGTCGGAAGACTTTATTTTCATCTCTAAATGGGTCTAAGATTTGGATGACAGACTGCAGGAGGTACAAAGTCATATGAAGGCATTTTGGTTGCCATTCTTTTTAAACAAGCATTATATACCCTACCCCTCATCTCTTGAGTAAATCAAGCAAATGCCAGCCATTTGCCTGGTTTCTGTCCATGTGGTTTCAAATTTTCCTCCTTGACACTCAGTAGTAGTGTTTTTCTATAAATATTATCACATAAACCTAAGAACTCTCTGGTCTCCCCAGGGCAAATTTTAATAATGCTTGTTACAGTGGGGTGGACTTGAGCCTGACCACCAGATTGACAAGATAGTCTTCCTGCCCAGAGGAGAGTTAGATACAATCAGGGCACCATTCAGACAGCTGCCTTTGAATTTACTTCTGAGTTCTCAGACTGCAACACCCTCCCAAATTCGTCCTAATTAATACCCATTAAAGTACAAGATTATTAATTGTCCTGTTGACCATATAGTTTGATCAAACGTCTGCTATCGGCACATGGCATTGCCTTAAATCAATCATAAGGATCTCATTCTTCCTATTCCAGAAACTCATGTCTCTTTCTGCATCCCATGCTCATCATCAAAATTATCAAGGACTTAGAAGGGTCTGAAATTTTACCATATACAAAAGCTAACAGGAAAGGCAGCTATAGTTTCATGGAGACTGATGAGAAAGGTGAGACTCCTGCCTCACAGACAAAGTTCAGTATATTCCTCAAAGCTATTGCCGATATTGAAGTATCTAGAGTATGAGCGTTTGCATCACATTCCTAAACCTCATCTTAAGGGTATCGTCAAGAAGGCACATGCTGTGAATTGCATTTTGCATTATAGGAGAGAAACTCCAAGCTTAGGAAACCCAGATCTTTTGCTTATTTATTTATTTATTTATTTATTGAGACAGAGTCTCACTTCATTGCCAGGCTGGAGTGTAGTGGCACAATCTCAGCTCACTGCAACCTCTACCTCCCAGGTTCAAGTGATTCTCCTGCCTCAGCCTCCCCCCACCCTCCCACCCTAGCTGGGACTACAGGCGCCTGCCACCATGCCCAGCTAATTTTTTGTGTTTTTAGTAGAGACGGGTTTTCACTGTGTTAGCCAGGATGGTCTCGATCTCCTGACCTCAAGATCCACTGGCCTCCGCCTCTCAAGGAGCTAGGATTATAGGCATGAGTCACCGCGCCCAGCCAGGAAATCTGATCTTTTAAAATGGACAATAAGCATGCCTGCCCCAAAAGGAGATATTATCTTTTTCATACGAGGCAGTAAATAAATCTGCCCTTTGTTTAAGAAGGAGATATTATCTCTATCTTCCAAGGCTTTTCACTATATAATCATCATTGATAAGATAGCCTGGAATAAAGGCAGTCAGGGCCTCTGCTCAGAAGACGTGCAGAAATGTGAAAGACCCATGAATTGTCTCTCAATTATGTAAACAATTAGTGATGTAGTATTAAAAGGTATATCTCTACATAAGCTTGTTATTGTTATGCTAATATTTTTATTTTTAACACATTTACTGAGGTATTTACTGTCATGCAAGAAACTGCACATATTTAGGGTAGAAATTTTGCTAAGTGTGTATGTGTGTCTGTGTGTGTGTGTGTGTGTGTGTATATATATATATATCCTGATGACCAGATTGACAAGATAGTCTTTCTGCTCAAAGAAGAGTTAAATACAACCAGGGCACAAGGAGCATGATCAAGTTAATGCACATAGCCATCATCTTAAAAAGTTTCTTTATCTCCTTTTTTAAAAAATTCTTTTTTTAAAACATCAGATGAATTTTATCCAAAGCGGATGAAATTAGTTGAATTGCCAATATCTCCTTTAAGGTAAAAATTATATTTCTACCAGACAAGGCATGATAAATGATTCCTGGTGGAGGTAAGGATATGTTTTAGGGCATAGTTTGAGTTAAATCATTGCACTAAAAGAAATTATGAAAGTTTTCTATCATTAACTCTCAATGTCATGCAGATAAGACATTTAAAATTGCCATTGAGTTTCACTTTAGTCAATGGAGATTTTCATTCCGAAAACTTACCCATCAAACATGATCTTCTTGCAGGATTTAAGTAATTGCTGAAATACATTGCTTTCATTTTCTTTCAACAGGTTTCCTGACTACTTCTTTCCTTAGAGTTGATTTCTGAAAAAGATAAGTGGTTCCATTATATTATTCTGGAGGTAAAAGAGGAAAACTTAAATGTTCTTCTCATCTTTTAAAGAAAGATGCCCTTTTTATGTTTTTGGGTTTTCCAAAGTACAGATTTTATTTTCATAGTCTTTGGAATATGGAAATAAATTATATGGAACATTATTACAGTTACATGTTACATTAAGATTATATGAAACCATAGCTAAACAAAATAAAATTCTTATATCCATGTTTCATCATATTATAAATCAAGTTTTACTTTACTTAAATAGTAAAGAACTAATAGGCTATACCTTGCATCATTCACCATGAAGTAAAGCAGATCTTACCAAAAACTCGATGCCTAAAAATATTTAAACTGGAATTTTATTTGCAATGGTCCTTGAAAGAAATTTCTACACAGGAGAAAAACTTTAGTAGCAATATGTAAACATCTTCAGCTTGGTGCCCCAATGGGAATCAATAGGATCATAATTAAAGAATAATAAAGAGCACACAAGTTATATATTGTAACATCTCGTGTCTGTTTTTAACATGCAAACTACACAGCAAATAAAATCTATTTTTACATTCATACTTATCACAGAGTTAATATTTTTGTTGGTATTTTGGGGGACTCATAAAACAAAGTAATTTTTAAACATTAAATCTTTTTTAAGTATGCCTTAAAAGTTAGAGATATATTCCAGGAACTTGGCCCTAACTGCCTTTGAAATATACCACAAAGATGCATTATGAAAGAAATACTAATACATTTTTACACAATGCCCTGAAAAATGGTTAGAAATGCAGGAAATAAATGATAAATATTCATTATTTTACTATTTAAGCAATGACAGTTTGACAAGAAAAACTGAAAGATTTTCTGAAATTAGAATAATATTGCAATATGTTAGATAAATATCACTATCAAGAATGTGTTTGAGCAGGCATAAAAATATGTTGTTGGCCACAGAAAATTTAATGAAATTCCCATGCTTGAAAACTAGCAATTTGTAAGCAGGTCATCATGGAAGACGATACTGGGGGATGACCAAAGTCTTCCGATAATACTCTGGCATTCTGAGGCCCTTTTAAGTCACATTCTTTTTCCTCTCCATTCATTCTTTGCTATCTTTATTAGTCCATTTTCACACTGCTATAAAGAACTACCTGAGACTGGGTGATTTACAAATAAAAGAGGCTTAATTGACTCACAGTTCCACATGGCCAGGAAGGCCTCAGGAAACTTAACAATCATGGCGGAAGGCTAAGGGAAACAAGGCACCTCTTACCCCGCGGCAAGAGAGAGAGAATGAGGAAGGAACTGCCAGTCACTTTTAAACCATCAGATCTCCTAAGAACTCACTATCATGAGACCAGAATGGGGGAAACCACCCCCATGATTCAATCACCTCCAACCAGGTTCCTCCCTCAACACTTGGGGATTACAATTCAAGATGTGATTTGGGTGGGGACATAGAGCTAAACCATATCACTATCTTACTTCATTAAGAGCAGTATGTGTTAATTAAACACGATGGGGAATTTTTAAACTTCTTGGTGAAATTCGTGCCATTATTCACTCTATGCCTATGTATTTTGTGGGTCTGCCCACATATTACACTCTTCTGATATCTCTATTACCATTACTGTTCTACTTACAAATTCTCAACAGACACTATTATAACCATGAGAGTTGGGCTTACTCCCCCAACCAGTCCTTTTCCATCCTCTTAAATTATTTATCCCACCCAATTTAAGTCCCACAGTCCAATCTTTAAACTAGGACTCAGCACAGAACATTGTACCAGCAAAATCCTTCTTTAAGGAAATATGCCTGGAGATACATTTCCCTACCTGTATCCTAACTATGAATTTGGAAATCAGAGAGATAAAAAGGGAATGCAAGAGGAGACAGACAGTGGTGATGGTTACACAACATTATGAATATATTCAATACCTGTGAACTATACACTTAAAATAATTAATACAGTAAATTTTATGTTATGTATATTTCACAACAAAAAATTGAAAATATTGTGGCAGGGACATTGGATTTGTAGTCGATCAAAATTTAATTCAAATACTTGGCTCTATCCATTTCTGATTTATATAGCAAATTACTTAAGTTCACTGGGCATAATATTTCTCAACTATAAAATAGAGATAATAATTTTATCTACCCCACATGGTTCTTGTGAGAATTAAATTATAAAATGCAAGTTATGACATTTCTTCATAGTAAATATCAAATAAATGTTAGCTATTAATCCAAACTTAAATCCATTTTATTGATAATTAATTATTGCTTATAGTTGGTGTGTTTTAGGATTTTGTAAGGTTTTTTTTTTCTTAATCTGAAGTCAAGTTTTCTCTAGCATGCAAATGTTATACAGTTGCAAAGGTGGTCTTTCTAAACCAGAATCATTACCACATTCAATTCTTTAGTTGTTTTCTGTTTCCATCCTTTCTAACCTCATTTCCCAGCTCACAATCTTACATATATATTAGGCTCCAATCAAGCCAGATTGGGACTGAGACCAACAAGCAATTCCCTGAAAAAGCCTCATCTTTCTCTCCTCCCCAGTCTGACAGTGTCACCCCTGATCAGACTGCCTGCTTGGCCCTCTTTCTTTTCTACTTGAACAAGTCTTATTCATCCCTCAAGCTTCAGTTCAATGACCCTACCTTAGAAAGCCTTCCAGGACTTCTGCAAATATCAGTGTTCCCATATCATTGAATTCATATGGCTATTATAGGATCTGTCTAGTTGCTATATTTCTTCAAGTGTCTGCTCACACACTTGATTGTGGTTCACTGGTAGGCAAAAGGTTATTGATTTCTTTGTTTCCCTACTACCTGACACATATTTGGCATTCAACAAATGAAAAATGAATGAGTGAAAGGATAGGATTCTATTGGGAACATGAACAAATAAATCTGTGATGACCACAACCACACACAGAAGATATTGCCCAACAAATTTTCCACTTTTGAGCTGACACAGATTAAGACACATTCTCCAGAAAACCTCCATTCAAAGGTAAACACATTGAATTGGAGGGAAAAGGTACTAAATTATTACTATATTTACATGAATTTGTTTAATCAACCAGCAAGTCTTAAAACAGGATTCTAAGGGTTTGAAACAAAACTTTTTATGGGGCATATGTTGCCACAGAAAAATCCAAAGCAGACACTGCTGCTTAGAGAGAGAAAGAAGAAACACAGGTGGACATTCATAGTGGGTGGCTCTAGATAGGTTATATCTGATTGGATGTAAAATCAGAAATGACAGAGGGGAAATCTGAGGAAAAACTGTTCAGTCAACAATTTGTCACAGACCAGACCTGCACCTACAACAACACGCAGCCTCCTCTGGGAAGACAAACTAATTTTAACTCTAGTAACATCAAATTTTGTTAATAAGGTAAATGCACTAAAAATAAAAGTCATTTAGAAGATTAAATACAAATTATGCTCTGGATTTTCCATGCTGTTGCTTCCCATATGTAGCGTGAATAGCTCAGGGCTAGTACAGAACCTATCACACCAAATAAAAAGCTAAGAAACTCGCCAAGTCCTGAGAGAACCACAGCTAAGTAACGTTAGCACTCTTTCACTGCTCTTACCAAAAACGCATACAAAAAAAAGGTTACTGCCATTTATAAAAAGAAAATTCTTACAGAAAGAAAACTGCATGAAAAATATACTCTTTTATATTAAACCAGTGTTATTTATCTTCATTGCTCATAGTGAGGGCTAGGTTAGGACAAAGGAACTGAGACCAACAAGATCCAGTGGCCTCACAGGCAGAGATTTATTGGCACTGCTACCCCGCAGCGCTCAGGGAGGGAAGCTGAGAAGTGAACTCTTGACACCAGGGCAAAAAGGGGGTCACTGAGAGGAGCAGACCCAGACATGCAGCAAGGAATCACATTGCTCCCATAACCATACTTGAGGGAAATTGCTTTACAATAGAGTACAGAGATATTTCTCAGAGCATGAGTTTCTTTTCCATCTTCGTTTTGATATAACTTTATGTGAGTAAAATGCCTGACTCTCAGCTTTAAAATATTCCTCCCAAGAATGCTTATGAAAAATGTAACAGTTTTGATGCTGTGGTAGATTGCGTAACTATTCACAAAAATGTACTGCCCTTCCTGTGGGGAATTAAACATTCTCACCCTGTTAAATGCACGGGCAGCATGTGACTTGCTTTGGGCAATGAAACGTGGGAAAGGTATTCAAGCTGAAGATTGAGCAACATGCTTTGTCATTCTGTCTCTTCTGCTTCCATAACAATTGCCAATTTTCAAGCAAAAAGTTTCTCCATTAGTCTAGATCCTGGGGTGAAGGTGACATGGAACAGAGCTGTGACCAATGAATGATTGACATGCAACATGAATAAAAGATAAGTTTTTTGTTTTTCTTTAAGATGCTGAGACTTGGAGGATTGTTTGAGATTACTGCATAACCCAGCTCATCCTGACTAGTAGAGCCATTTCTCAGACTGCAATGTGGCAGGCCAAAGGGAAGACTGCTTGGTTTATAGGTTTGTAATACTCTACTGCCATATGGGTGACAGCACCATCAGGGAATGGAGTCATTAAGAATGGAGGGATATGCACTTTGTTCTTAAATAGCTAGGATTCCTAAAACTAAAGCTGCTATCCATTTAAATTAAAGTTAATTCTCAACATAAAAACGAGTTGTGTCCCAAAAGATAATTTTAGGTCAGAATGCCTCTTACAAAGGAACCTGTTATAAACGGAAATTAAAATCTTATGCTAGTCCTTTATTACTTAGTTTCTAAAAGTTAGTATTATTTTAGTTGCTTTAAGATTAAAAAGATAAGTCTAAGTCTTAGACTCAGCCTCCATAATCATGTGAGCCAATTCCTTACATCTCATTATATAGATTATTATATAATAAAAATTATTTATAATAAGTAATAATTTCTTTATAATAGATTATTATATAATATATTATATAAGAAAGAAATTATTATTATATAGTAATTAGACAGGGTTTATATCATGTGTAACCAAATTATGACATAATAATATTATTATTAAATAATAATCTCTTTTTTTATATAATAAAGAGATGAAGGAATTGGCTCACATGATTATGGAGGTTAAGTCTAAGGCCCACAGTCAGCAAGCTAGGAACCTAGGAATGCTGATGGTATAAGTTCCAGTCTAAGTCTGAACACAAGAGACTATGTTCCAGCTCAAATACAGTCAGGCAGAGAGAAAGAATTCTTTCTTACTCAGCCTTGTTTTCCAGTCAGGCCCTCAATAGATTGTTTCAGCCCACTCACGTTGGAGAGGGCTATCTGCTTTACTCAGCCTACCAATTCGAATGTTAATCTCATTCAGAAATATGCTCACAAACAATCCAGAAATAATGTTTAACCAAATGTCTGGGCACCCCATGGCTCTGTCAACTCAACATATAAAATTAACCTTCACAACTTGTAACATTGTTCCTTGAGATCAACTAGAAATTACAGCTTAAAAGCCAGAACACCAACACATACCTCCCAAATATCATCAGGTCAGTAACAGGAAACCTGTTTTTATTTGATGTTTGTTTATATGTTTTATTTTATATTTTTATAGGTATTTATTTTGTTTATAGATTTCATTTCATTTTTTTTTTTTTCTGTCTGTGTTTTGGCCCTGGAACAAGAGCAGAGACTCCCTGTCTACAAATCCTCACCTGCTCATGGGAGTATCAACTTTTTTTGGTTTCACACATTCTAATAGTGTCAGCAAGCAGTGACAATTTAATTGGAAAAGTAAAGAGGAATAGAAAGTTTCCCTGATAACATTGCATTAGTTATCTATTTCTATATAACAAATTACCCCAAAACTTAACAGCATACAATGATAAACACGTATTATCTCACACAGTCTCTCTGGGTCAAGAATCCATTTTAGCTGAGTGGTTTTGGCTCAGAATCTTTCACGAAGTTGCAGTCAACTTGTCAGCCCAGTCATGGTAAGTCATGAAGTCACGGTAAGCCCAATCCTTACCGTCATGTGAAGGATTGAGTGGGCCGGAGGATCTACTTTCAAGGTGGCTCACTCACATGCCTGAAAAATTAGTGCTAGTTGTTCGACCCTTGGTTTTTTGGCACATGGTTCTCTTCACAGGGACGCTTGAGTGTCCTTACTCAAGCTGGCTTGAGTAGCTGGCTTTACTCACAAGTAATACAAGAAATATCAATCCATCATTTTTATGACTTTGCCTCTAAACTCACATACTGTCATTTCCACATTGTCTTATTGTGTTCATTACACAGTTAACACACTGTGTTAATTACACAGATCAGCCCCATTCAGTATGGAATAGGTGACACCACCTGTGAGTATCAGGATGCAGGGATCCTTAGAAGTCATCTTGGAGGGTAGCTACCATATTTATATTTTCCCCACAACTTATAGACTATCCTGGTCACTGGCTTGTATCATTTATTGAATTCAAGTCTAACTTTAGCTCATATAAAATTCTGACCAACATAATTCCAGATTTTACAAATATCAAGATATCTCTCAAGACATCTGTAAAATCAAATAGAGAGATCATATTTTAAAATTCAGTCACATTTAAATGACAGGTAATATAATAATTATTATTATTTATTTAATATATTCAGCTTCGTCATTTTCCCTGTGGTATGATTCACTTAGTACCAAAAGTAAATATCCAAAAGGTATTACCATCATGTAAATCTTCTTTTCTCAATTTCAATATGTTCTTTCTCATTCATACCCAGTAGGGTCATACAGGTAAGGCCTAAGCGTAATAAAAGGGCAGTGTAAGAAAAATTCTATTATTTTAATGCTAACAAAACAGACGTTATTACATTGAAAATATGATCCTAGAAACATTTTAAGAATAAGCTTTTGTTCAAAAGTCTAAACAAAGCTTTCAAAGACTTAATTCCAAGTGCTAAGGTTTATTTGCAGATTTTCACATTGTCTTTTATATTAATTGTTTCAAGGCTTGACAAACCTAATGAGAAGTATTTGCTAACATCCTTCACACCAGTCTTTCAGTCAACAAGTATTACCAACCACGTCAAGTAAGATATAGTCTCTGCATTCAGGACCATACAGCCTAATAGAGGGAGACAGGTATATAAGTAAACATACTTCAAATGCACCCCAAGCATGATTAAAAGCTTGAATGTCACACTAGCATCAATATACAAATCTTGCTAGTTCCAAGTCCTACTTGTTCACAAAGAAAATCTAGTCCCTTAAGAACCCCTTCCTCCATCCTCACCAGCAACAAAACTTGTCTTTGAAACCCGGGAGTTTGCTTCATGTACTCACGAATATATGGAGGTTCTTCCTGCCACAGGCCTCTGCTGCCCTTAGCTATTCCATCTGGGTTGGCCTTAAGTGCTACAAGTTCTGATCTTTCAGTTCCTCTTCTTCTGGTTTTCACCCACCACCCCATGTTCACTCAGAGCTCTCATTCCTCACAGATCTCTGTGCCTAAATCTCAATTTACCCCAGTCTCCATGGTATCCAACATTTTGGCAATTTCCTGTAAAGGGGGAGGGTGGTTTGCAACCTGTGTTACTCTGTATTATTCTTAATAAAAGACTCCATTTCCAAGTTCCTTTAGTCCAAAGCACCACAGGCCTCTTCTCAGGACCTTGCTATGTCACACCTCACTCTATGCCACTTCAGCCCACCTTCTGAACCTTTCCACCACTCCCTCTATACTGGACCCTTCCATTTGTATATAGGCATGCCAAAGCGTCTTCAGTCTTCCCTGTACCTGACTCTCTGTAGAAGCATAGTCTCTATTTCTTGAGAAAGATATCTACACTCAGTGTGCCTAACTCCTCCTTTTACCCTCAACTACCCTTTCATTCTATTCTGGTATTTGCACCTGCAATTCCATGAAACTATTAAGGTTAAGGTCATCAGTACCCCCTTGTTGTTAAATCCAATGGAAACATATTTCTCATTGTCTAGTGGTTCTGCATCCAGTGCTTCCTCACCCACTCCGCCCACTAGGCCTCTGTTCCAAACCAGGTCTTCTAATGACCTATTGTGATACAGAGATATTTCCATACAGTCAGGAAAGCTGTGTGGGACTTGGTTTAGTTCCTGGCTGCAAAGCAGGAACTTTGATCATTTTCTCATGAGGCACCCTGCTTGTTATGAGCCATAACTTCAAGCAGCAATTGTAGCCATTTGGATATTTTGGCCATTTGGGTTTTTTAGCTTCTATGAGCAGAGTGCTGTACTCCAGTCCCTAGTTTTATGCTGTGAGCCTGGTTTTAGTCCCCTGTCTCACATAAAAACATGTAAGACTATTCTCCACAGAGGCCAAGTTTCTGCTGCCACTTCCTTGCCACTGGGTCCGTAGCTCAGCAGCCCTGTGGCATTTTCCCCATGTTGTATATGTACTCTGTCTCTGGTCTGTAAAAATATCCATCTCCTTTTTGACCTGGGCCTTGACTTTCTGGTATTGTCCTTTAATATAGGATTGGCATTAGTGTATAATTTTATCAGAAAGGGTGTGGAAGCATGATATATTATGAAGACATCTCCTACCATTTCTTAACTTCACAGGATTGTAGTGTGGATAAAACCCTACACAGAAGGAGAAATCTTTTGTGAGCAGTAAGGTCTCTACAAATGTTATTCAGTAATAATAAGCACAGATATTCAAGGAAGTAGGAAGACAGTTTATTAGAACATACTGGTTTCTCCCCTTTCACACCTGATCTAAGACCCAGGGAGGAGATCCTAGAGGAAGGGGCCACAGGCACTGAGGGGCTGCTTAAGGGAAATCCTAATGGACAACCATCAGAGTTAACCTAGTGTCAGATATTTTTAAAGCTCTTTACAAATACTACCTGATTTAGTTCATTATTATTCTTCCCATTTTATAGATGCGCTACAGAATACTTAAGCTACTTGCTCAGGATGACCCAGCTAATAAGAATTAGACTGCTGCAATGTGAGCTCCTAGCTCATGCAAGAAGTTGTTTCTACAGCAAGAAGGGGTAGGTCTTAGGTAATCGTGAGTGGAATGAAACACTGTATTTTCTTTTCACAGAGCCCTTTCAATTAGCCCCTTCTCTTAAAATATCCCTGGGTGCTTGAGAAGCAAGTAGAATCTGTTTACTTGGCAAACTTTTGTATCAGCGAAGAAGATAGGTTGATGGTAACTCTATAGTAATGGGGATCTAAAGAGTTTTCTTTGTTTTTAATAATTGCTAATTTACTCTAGTACAGATAATTGAGTCAACCATTCTCATTTGCTTGAACTCCTTTAAAACATCTGAGGAGCTGTTTTCAAACAGAAAAGAGAATACTGACAAGTAAACGATTATCTTTCCTACTTAAAGAGCTGAAGCCTAGAGTATAGTCAGGGGGAAATGAAAAAACTCACACTACTGTTTGAACAGCCATTCCAATTAAAAAGCACCCTGGGATGGGTGCGGATCTGGTCACCGTGCATGGCGGACATAAGAGCTCTGCTGGGAGTGCCTATAGAGTCATTTTGGCAAGGCCGCCTCCCAGAGCCAACTGATCAATAGGCATCTCTCACCTTTTTCAAAGCACAGTGGGAACTGAAGACAGTGAAAAACAGTATCCTCCTCCACAAGACCATACTAACCCAAACCACAGCAGCACTGGTGCCAGCTCCAGGGAAGGCAGCCCTTCTGAGGGGACATCAGCGACGAGCAATGTGATGGAGAGGTTTGGAATTGCTTTAGCCACAATCTACAGGAGCACTTCAGAGTCCTGCCAGCCCAGTCATTGTCTCCATTTTGCAGGGAAGGGCTGCCTTCCCTAGAGCTGGCACCGGTGCTGCTGTGGTTTGGGTTAATATGGTCTTGTTGAGGAGGATACTGTTTTTCAGTGTCTTCAGCTCCCACTGTACTTTGAAAAAGGCGAGAGATGCCTATTGATCGGTTGGCTCTGGGAGGAGGCCTTGCCAAAATGATTCTATTTTTCAGAGATCCTTTATATGGCTCAGTGGGTCATCAGACACATCTCATGCCCAGGTATAAACAAAAGGCATGGAAGTATAAGGGAGGGAGAGACTTCACAAAGTGCCCAGCTTTACATCAAAGCTCAGTCCTCAGGTAGAGGGCTAAATCAAAGGCTTTCAAGTAAAGCTCTATGTGAAACCTTCACTTAATAGAAGTGCAAAATTGAACAGAAAAAAAAAAATAGAAAAGAATCGAAAGTTAAACACAGAGAGTAGAGGGAGGAATAACGAGGGGCCATAAGCCACTCATAAGTAGTGATTGTCAATATAAGACACGACTCAGTAGCTCCCTCTTAAGAAGAGATTAAACTTTGCATCCTCTCAAAGCATGAAGAGAAGGACATTCCCCTACCTCCATTTTCTCTCCTGTTCTTTTCTCTCCTCATTCTACACATTGTTTCTAAGCTACAAGTCCCCCATATTTCACCTGCAACCATGTTCTAGCACCACATTTTTTAAAGGGTAGTAACTTCTCCATTCACTTACTAAGTGCTTGAAGTATCCCAACACCACCCAACATAAAAAATATTAAAGCCATGTAATGTGTTGGTGGGAAGAGAAGGTAGTCTGTATTTACGATAGTTCCTAGACAAGTGGGGCTAAGCAAATATTTACCAAATTCACTTTAATTTGTTTACTCATTTCATACACATACCCCCACAATGCCCATTTGGCTGGGATAATGTTTTGAAATACTAATCTGCTATTACTTTTTCTCCCTGTACTTTTCTTTTTGTTCTCTCTTTAATTCAAGTAGGCAAATAGACTGTGCTCTTTACTCAAGATAAATATAGAACAAAGAGGACAGTAGCTTACAATTTTACTATTATCTTCCAAAGCCTGGATTTTTATAGAGGGAATTAAAAGTAGAGGATCCCCAAACATTGACAGTGTATTAGTCAGAAACAAGAAAAGAAAAAGATTTCCCACCGGGGAAAAAAATACAAGGGATTTCTTCTGGGTGGAGAAAAGAGAGAAAGACAGAGACAGAGAAAGAGAGACAAAGAGAGAAAGATAATTCTATGGGTCTACAGAATATGGAAGAGCAAACCAGTAAAACCATCAGGGTAGGCAGCAAAGCCCCTGAAAGGTAAGAACTGTGTTCAGTAGAAAGGCAGACAGGAACACAGAGAGTCGTGCTGAAGATTTTGGAGGCTCAGTAAGCCTCTGGACTGACAAGCCCTATAAACAAGGATGATAAATATCTCATTGACAAGCAGTGTAAGAAAAGGCTGTGGATCCCGGAGGCTCACTCCTTTCTACCCTCTGTGATGTGGCTGGAACTATGGCAGACACTGGAAGACTCTCTCTGTCTCTCTAGTTTGGGGTGAACTCCTGCTCTCCTTCCTCTTGAATGAGACACTTTGTCTATATCTGCAAATCCTCTCTGCACTCTGGGGTTGAATCTTGAGGGAATGAGTGAAAGGAAAGGTTAGGTATGCAGCTTTCTGCTGGTTGTTCTGCTACATCCATCCCCTGAGACTACAAATACAAAAGAGCACATAATCCATTAGACACCTTGGAAAGAAAAATGGAAAATACAAGAATAAAAGATAAATATCTCCATGTTATCTCAGCCATATTCTTTCCTAAATAAACATCTTATGTCTTTCAAAATCAAATGTACTTTTCCTAAATGTTACTCCTGCCAGCTCCAGTACTCCCAGCCTCTGCTCCCTACATCCTTAGCATCTGGGTTAGGGGGATATCTGCTCCAGGCTCCCTAAGGTCAGGTAGGTAAGCCTAATGTGGCCCATTTCTCTCCTTTC